CCGCCGGCCGCGGCGGGGCCGCGGCGGCCGCGGCTGCGGCTGTGGTGGCGGCGGCGGCCGAGGCAGAAGCTGCGGCAGCGGCGGCGGCACGCGCCGCATCAACGCGTTTGCAGCAGTCCAGTACGACTAGACCCGTCCAAGTGAAGACAGCGCCCAGCACCCAAAGCACGCCCAGCGCAGCCCATCCGCCCTGCCTGCAGGTTTGCGTGTATGAGCAAGTGCGTCAGGGCACGCACGGGTTGCGCTCGCTCAAGAGGCTTGGGGGCCGTAAACCCTAAACCTACACCCTGAATCCTAGCCGCTGTGTGTGCACACATGGTGATGCCTATCTCGGCTTTTCTGACTCCTGGATACAGGTATGGATAAGCAAAATCCACAAATGCATCCCCTAATTCTCAGCAAGCACTCGGTGACGCTGTACGGGCAGCAAGGTGTAGTCCTGCCACCCTACCTGCATGCAGCGGGCATCGAAACGAAGCCAGCGCCCATGATCACATTCACGTAATTAAACAGGGTCTGCGTCTCGGTGGCCTGGCCTTGTCCTGAGTGCGAGAGTAGCAGGTAGGGTTGTGTTGTTGGAAAGGGCACAACAGGCTGGGGCGATCGAGCGTGTCAACGCGTTTCAGTGGTGGCTATGCACGAAGGCACGACAGCCTGTGTGGTTTGCGGTGGGGTTGGCAAGGCAAGGCAAGGCAAGGACGCGACATGATGATGTGGCGAGATCATCGGAAGACCGGTCAACATCTTGCAGTGCGACCCTGGCCGGCATGGCCGTGTTGACCCGCCTTGACCCCAACATGCGAGGTACCCAAACCATCGGAGGGGTCTGGATCTCACACCTACCACTGTGGCTGCCTGCTGGCTGCTCTGGCTGCCATTGCGCCGCAGCATCGCCAGTCCCCACAGCGCTGGCTTGATGGGACCGCCGCTGGCGAGTGCCGCGAGCTGACCAGCGCGGAGCCACAACAGCGCTGGAAGCACATCGAATAGGTTTAGTGACTGTGTCCTGTCCCCTACAATGTTGCAGCCGCACAGAACGACTATAACATTGCATCATGGTACCAGCGGTCAAGTGGCCCCCTTGGCTAAGCCTGAAGGTCGCAATTATAAGAGGTCAAACTGTTCAACCAAACTTGCCGGGCTCCGAAGAAAATAGATCACGAGGGTGTCATGTACGTATACGTACAGTAGGCCTCAAAGGCATTGGAAAAAATCTATCGCACATCACTTGCTGCTCGGAGTCACTGGCAGGGCTGTATCATGTGGCTCCCAATGCTGGACTGCCAGGCTTGCAGGTGCAGGGGGACCTACATGACATGCTGATGCAGTACCGTACTCCACCAGGCCCTGCCCACGCCATGGATGTGCACTCGCAATGTAGCACTATTGTGGAAGGCATTGGGTGTGCTGTGCAGTCCAGCAGGCAGTGCTGCTTCAGAACGGGGTCCAATCTATGCCTGCATCAAGGAAAGTAAACTGCTCTCGTCTGCTTGTAGTGATCCCTGTGCATCCACCCCGTTGACCTATTGTGGCATCGGGGGAGCTTGGAAGGGTTGAATTGATGAGTTTACACAAACTAGTATGCATATATTAGACCCGAGGCTGCATGGTCGGTGCTGCGTCTGCAGGCTTGCCAATGACAGGTGAGAGGGGGTTTGACGAAAAATGAAACAAGGGAGAAGAGGAAGGCAAGGCGCGGCAACCCAAACAAGACTGCGTTTCAAATCCCAGCAAGCCGTAAAAAAGGCGGCAGGGTGTGCGGGGTGGCAGGAGGCAGGGATGCACAGCAGCGGCACGAGCACCGGATGTGGCCAGCAAAAGAGGGATGCCCGAGGGGGATGTGTCGGTTTGCTGCTGCTCAAGCGTCCCCCCAGCAGAGCAGCAACGTTTGCCCTGCACAAGCAAGGGCCAGCTTGCCCGCCAGCGCTTTCTGTGTAGTATGTTCATGGAGACACATGCCGGGGCAAGGGCATACTGCGGCAGAAAAGTTTGATCAATCAGGCACAGCAAGGGGGATAGGGTAGGGATATCAGAATAGGGCAGGCATGGAGGAGGAAGGCTTGCTTTGGGCTGGTCGGAAGAGGCACAACGCAGGCAGGGGATGGCGCGTGATAATGAGGCTTTAGGCTGGGTGCAGTGACCAGGTTGCTTGGGAGCTCTATGGTGCGGCGGCAGCGACACGGGCGGCGTCAGCCCCAAGGCCAACCTCTGTGTGTGTCCTGAGGCTAAACGAAAGCAGAGGCGCATGCAGCGTCCAAAAGCCGGTGCCACCTTGGCACGCCAAGAAAGGCGACAGAGTGCAAACCCTGAGCGGGGTGCGAGGGACAGGGCGCCGCCGCGCGGCTTCGGGTCACACATGCGTCACCCAAGCTGCACGGCTGCGCCCGCATGGTGGAGTAGGCGGGCAGGCAGGCAGGCAGGCCCCGCTTCGCAACGCGACTGGACATGAATGCACGCGCAAGAGTGGCCTTATGGGGGCGTCAGCAAGAGTATGTCACCAGCTGGGCGCTTGATGCGTCTCAAATCATGTTCAAAAAGATCCAATCCATCGAGGGCGTGTGCTGGGGCGAATGCCGGGGCATGCGGGGCGAAGGGGAGGCAAGCGAGAGCGCGGCCGGTCCTCACAAGCATCTCACGCATCGCAGGCGACAGCAATCGTCCAAGGGAATGGAGCCTACGACAGGGGGCCCAGCCGCGGCACACCGCAAACACGCCGAAAGGCGCTCGGGCGCCGGCTGGGGGGGGCACACGAGGCCCAGCCCGGCCGAGCCTGGCAGGCGAAAGCGCGCGGGGCCAGGGCCAAGTGCAGGGGGATGCTCCTGCCCATTGGCATCTGCAAGCAAGTGAGGTAGAATAAAAGGACATGGGCTCCTCATGAACATGCCGGCCACCTTTGTCATGGGCGGGCGGGCGACGCATGGCCAGCTAGGTGGACGCGCGCGTCAGTGGCCGCCACACAGCAGCCAGCCTGGCTGCCAGCGCCGGCCAAGCAGCGCTGGGGGTGCGCTGCGCATGAGGTCCATCTTAAAGGCTTGTCGAAGGGCGATCGCCACCCATGGGGCCGCGTGCAGCGGCAGCAGCGGCGGCGGCACAGAACGAAGGCGTTATTGCCTCGGGAATCCAGCGGGCGCGCCAAGGCGACACAAGGCACCACGTGCCAGGCAGAGTGCTTGGTGGCTTCAGCAAACGAGCGCGGCGGATGACAGATGTGGCTTCCTTGAATGCACACCTAGGGTTTATGGTTTCAGAGATCAACATCATAGGGATCAGCCAGGCATAACCACACGCAGGCGCACTCGGCTGCCGTGACACTCGCGAGCAACTTCATCGCTCGAGGCGGCTGCAGCTCAAATCATCAGCAGACAACATTCGCTTGCGGCCTCCTACAGAAGGATGGCGTGGCCCTCTGGCTCCCGGGGCGCTATAGAGATGAGGAGTGTGGGGGGCAATCAGGCTGTGTCGACGCGTGCGCAGGCCCGCCGCCGGCAGCCGTGGTGACATCCCTTTTGTCAGGCCGCCTGCTGGGACAGCACCGCTTGGCCCGCCGACAGCACCCGCAGCAGGTCGCGCACTGCGCTCTCGGGCATCTGCGCCAGCAGCTGCGCCGCCGCCTCGCGCCCCATCACGCCGCCGCCGCCACCAGCCGCCGGGGGCGCGGCCTTGGGCGGCGGTGGCTGCGCGGGCTCGCCCGCGTCGCGGCCGGGGGACGCGCGGCGCGGCGGCGCGTCTGTCAGCTGCTCCTGCAGCTTGTCCAGCGTCACGACCTCGTCCCCAATCAGCAGCAAAGGCTCCAGGGGGCCCCGCACAGCCGCGGGCGCGACCGCGGGCATGGCCGCGGGCGCAGCCGGGGCGGGCAGCGGGCTCGCCGCGCGGCTGCCTGGGGCGCGTGGGAAGGAAAGGCCTAGCAGAGGGGCGGAAACGGGAGAGCCGGCGGCGGCGGCGCCAGGGGAGGCTGGCGCTGACGCGCCGGCGCCGCCACGCCCAAGCGCGAATTGAGCGTCCAGGGCCGAGGGCGCCGGTGATGCCTGTCGCTGCGCTGCAACGGCAGCTGCCAGATGCTGCTGCTGCTGCTGCTGCTGCTGCGCTAGGGCAGCCGTCAGCGCAGCCACATCGGCGACGTGCTGCTGCGGCGGCGCAGCGGCGGGGGCCGAGGCGGTGGCGCCGAGAGGCAGGAGCGGTGCGCTGTGGTTCGGTCGGCCCGGCGGCGGCGCTGGTGCCGACGCCGTCGCGAGGCCGAGGGGCGCCGAGTCATCGCCAGCGGCAAACTGCATGGCTGCGAGCTGCCGCTGAAGCTGTTCGAGAAGCGCCGACGCCGAGGCTGCGTCGGCCGCGCCGCTGGCCTCGTGGGCCTGCTGCTGCTGCTCCTGGTGCTGCTGCTGGACCAGCGAGGGGGCGGCCATCGCCGCCGACGTCGCTGCGTAAAGCGTTTGCATGTCCACCGGCTGGTGGTGTGCCGCAGGCGGCGGCCGCGACACGAACGTGGCCGCCTCGTTAAGAGAGCGCCGCAGGCCTGTTGAGCGGCCCTCGCCCGCAGCGACACCGCCGCCACCGCCGGCGCCGCTGGCTGCCTGCTGCTGCGCCGCAGCAAGCTGCGCCTGCGCCAGCGCAAGCGCCGCACCCGCGGCATCGAGCCCTGTCAGGTCGCCTGAGGGCCCGGCGCCGGCCCCATACCCCATGTGCTGCGCCACCAGCGCGTGCTGCAGCGCGGCCGCCGCAGCCGCGTCACCAGTGCCGCTGCCTGCGCCGGCCGGCGCCCCGCTCCAGTCGAGCCGCGGCAGTGGCATAGACTTGAGGCCGCCCACCGACGCGTGCGCGCCAAACGCGGGGCCGCCCCCGCCACGAGCGGCGCGGCCAGGCGCGCCGCCGCCCAACACGGGAAGGACGTCCGACATGGCATGGCCCTGCATGCCTGCGCCCCCGCCGCGTCCGGGTAGCGGGCCTGATGGGCCGCCGGCTGCGTCGTGCGACACCTGCATCTTGACAGCAGCCTCGCTGATGCTTGACAGCAGCAGCTGGTCCTGCGCCAGTGCGCGGTGCGCGCCGCCGCCCCCCCCCTGCATCCCGCCTTGCATCCCGCCATGCATCCCGCCCTGCATTCCGCCCTGCATTCCGCCAAGTCCGGGAGGGCCCGTCGCGCCGGCGCCGGCCCCGTGGATGCCCATGACGGGCTCTGGGGGCGCGACGACGGGCTGTGGGCCGCCGGGCATGCCCGTGTGGCGCAGCTGCGACTCGTTGTGGGCGAAGAAGCAGACTGGGCGCGTGCAGCCCATGCCAAACTGGCAGAGCTCGGTGCGGTACCTGCATGTGCGCATGGAGGTGGTTGTCATAAACATCACCAGGGCATGCGCACGTCCATGCTAGGGCATGCACACATGCATGCGCAAAAAATGGTGGGTGTGGGAGTCAGAGCCTGCCTGCCTGCATGCATGCATCCATGCACAGCAGTTGCTGTGCGCTACAGCGGGTGCATGCAAGCACGCACGGCAGCGGCGACCACGCGCAACACTGGGCGCTGGCCACTTCAGACTTCCCGCCCATACGATCAGCGCCGCAGCGCCCCGGCAAGCCCCCAGCAAGCAGAGCCCCCGCAGGCGGCCGCAAGGTGCTCGCGCGGCCAAGTTTGGACAGGGGGAGATCGCGGCGCGGCAGCGGGCGCGGCGCGCACCTGGCGGGATGCAGCCAGTACTCAAACAGGTTGTGGGCGTGCGGGCACTGCTCGCCGCGCGGGCAGGGCAGGCGCTGCTTGCTGTGGTAGCAGAAAATCGGCAGGTACAGCTTCGGGTCGCGTCGCGCCGCCATCTCCCCTGTGTGTGCAAACGGGCAGACGCTCCAGTCGTGGCGGTAGCGCTTACTGCATGGGATGACCTGAGAGGGTTGTTCATGGAGGGAGGTTCCCGTGAAACGTAGGCGCGTGCGCGCATGGTGCGGCCCGGTCCCGGCTGCAGTTGTCGACCGTTATGCACATGGGTGTGGGCGAGCGCACGCCCAGGCCCCGTTCAGGAGTGGGGCCCCCGCGCACCTTGTACCCCTGCATCAAGAACCTAGATGTGTTGTCATCGCTGCCGTCGTCTGCGGCTCGCACCGGCGGCGCCTCCATGGCTGCAGGGCCAGGTGCGCCCGCCGCGCTCCCGTGCTGCGCGTGCTGCGCGTGCTGCCGAGCAACCAGGGGGGTTGGCAACTGCCGGCAGGCCGCAGCTGCTTCTGGGAAGGAACAGCTAGGCGGCGCTTGAATTGGGGGCGCTCGCACGACCAGCCACGGCCGGCCGCAAAAGATTTCCAGGCTGGCGGTGCAGGCCGCCGTCAGTTGCGCCTGGGCAGGCAGGGGACAAGGCGGCAGCGAGCGGCGGCTGATTATGCGCGCTGCGAGACCCCCAGGTGCGAATGGTCCACGCCGCCCTTCGTGGCATCGGCGCAGTGTAGCAGCTGCACCTGCAGTCGCAACACTGCCAGCACCCATGGGGCACAGGGAGCCAGGCACTCCGGGGAGGGGGGAGGCGCGGGTGCCGACGCCGGCCAAGGGCATGTTGCCCTGATGGCCACTCGCTCGTTCCCATCGCCGGGCTGGGCGCAGACACTTTCGTCACGACCAGTATGGTCCGAGAGACGCCCCCCCCGCACAGCCAGACTGGAAAAGGGGCGCTGATCCGCCGGCACTGCGTAGGCCCGCCCTTCCCTCCCTCAGTAAAAACAAGGTGCGTTCGACTACCATGAGCCCCCAGACGCACGCCCGCCGCGGGCTCTCGCACCTGCTGCCAGGTGTGATAGGCTTGTGAGCTGGCGCTGAAAGTGAGTTCGTCTAGCTGCAATACAGCTGCCAACAGAATGGGTGCGAAGAATAGACGGCTTCTACTGCGGTGAGAGCTGGCGACAAAGACGAAGTGCCCAGTTTCGGCAAAAGGCGTCTAGGCAGACGAGCACACGTGCGATAGAAACAATCGATTCGTTGTCACAAGCTTGCACTCGTACGTATTGGTGAGAACCATGCTTCGTAAGCCCAGGTGGGAATTCAGTCTTCGCTGGGCACACGCAACTGCACCGTTTATGTATCCCGCAATTGTGAACGGCGTGACGCGCCGTTCACATCCCACGTCTCCGTTATCACGGTAGGGCGGCGTGGGCAGGGGGGCGTGAGGAGCCTCATCTTGTGTGGTCACTTCAAATGACAATGTCACCGTACGGGCTGTCGCTTCACACCAGGACCGTGCAGCCGGCGCACTGCCTCATGGCGCGGATAGAAGGTTGAGAGCAGCAACAGCAGCAGCAACAGCAGCAGCAACAGCAGCAGCAGCAGCAACAGCAGCAGCAACGGGCAGGAGTTTCGCTGCCCAGGGTTGGGCGCTTGTGAGATGAAAACAGACCGAATCAGCACCAGCCGCTGAAGAAGGGGCTGCAATTACCCCCCCCCCCCCCCTGTTGGCTGGCCAGCAAAAAGCCTATTGCCCCCAAAAACCAGCTGCCGCACGGACACCTCACTGTACCTTGCACCTCTGCCCCCCTTCCCGGGCGGCACATGCTCTCAGGTTGTGCTGTCAACGTGGAGCACAGCTGGGCAATACATTCGTGGCGCAGGCCGTGGGGCCAAGCTCTGCTGCTGTACTGCATCTCCGTAAGCCTGCACCACTCTCACTGGGCAATAGGCTGCGGGCGCCGCCGCCAACGCCGGCCACCATGGTTCAGCAGCCGCAGAGCAGTTCCGGTCCCCCGCGGGGCGACATGATGCTTGGAGCACCTTGCGGCGTCCTTCGATGCTTTGGCACCAACGCAGTCGACAGGCTGTGCAGCCGACGGGCCGCTGACTCAGAGTAGGCCGCTGCGCCCAGTTCAGGCACTGGCGGCGGCCAGCCAGTGCCTGGGTCAGAGACGAAGTGCGAGCGGGTGCGGCAGCGCACCAGGGGCCCCCCAAGCCCGCCACTGCTGCACGGCTAGCAACATAGTGCTCAAGAGCTGCACGGGCCATCACTGCCGGTTCCGGACTGCCGCTTGTCACTCGCTGCACACCTGTGGCTGCGATTGCTGCTGCTGGTTTGCTTGCTGGCTTGCCAGTGCTAGCCGGCACGGCACGCGCTCTTTCGCCACCATTTGCCAGCTGCGAACCCGACGCCCCTCCAGCAGCTATATTGCGGCCGAGCTTCCCGGGAACACCAGTCGACCCAGGACCCGCGTGGGTTGGGCCTGCAGCGCTCCAGCTGCAAGTTTACACGCCCTCAGGCCCGCCTCCAGAGCGAGAGCAGCGTGTCCGCCGCGCCATATGTCTCCAGGCTTGGGCTGCGGTCGGTGCCCTGGGGGCGGCGGCAGCGGCCGCGGTTTGGGGGACGGTGCGGGTGGGGCTTAGGGGCTGGGGAGGAAGCGGTAGAGGTTACCGCCACTTGGGCCGCAGGAGCTAGTTGACGAATGGGATGCAAGATGGGGGGCGTGCTCGGCCACATGCCGTCTCCGCGCCCACACCATTCCAGCGTCCATGCCAACGCCATGTGCGAGAGGGAGGCGAACGCACCAGCCCAACGCTCTGCCTTGTGCCCCGCCCAACCCCGCCCAGCTCGCCCCTCCCCACCCACGCTCACCGGCGCGCTCTGCTGCTTGGCCGCCGCCTCCACTGCTGGCGGCTGGCCCGCTGGCGGCGGCGGCGGCAGCGCGGGCGGCGACATGGCAGGGGGCCGGCCGCAGTCCTGCACAGGCAGACCATCAGCACGGCCGCCCGGCGCGCCGCCCTCCACGCTGGGGCCTCCCGCAGCCGCCGCGGACAGGGGCCCCTTGATGCAGCCGGGAGGGCTGGTGCAGACTGCAGCCGCCTCGGCCTGCCGCGCGGCAATGGTACGTCAGAGGAGTAGCGGGCGAGTGGTCGGTTTGTGCCCTGCCCACTGCGTCAAGTGCGGCCGCTCGCCTGCGCGGGGACGATCTATTCCTGTGCACCCGTAGGCGCCGCAGCACCCAGCGCACGCGTGTGTGGGTCCCAAACCTCGTGCAGGCGCAGCAGGCGCCGCTAAAAGGGGTCCCTTCCTGACATGTCGAGCT